TTAATATAAATTTTAAGGTGACGTACTTACTGAAAATTCTCCTTTTTTATGTTTATGAAAATTGATTTCGAAACCTGTTTTTCCAAAAACACCAAATTACAATGTAGCTTTGACTACATTGACACCAAAATGAATAATGAAGCAAATCCAGTTTACATTCCTTTGGTTAACTTTACTTAAAATTCAAATATCAAAAAAGGTAACATTTTTATATAAAAAAAATTCTTATAAATATTCATATTGAACTCATTTACCGAGAGAGATTTTCTGTCTTAAAATTAAAGTCAACGAATTAATTAATGAAAATATATTTATTCATTTATTTATTCATTTATTTTTACATAAATAAAATAATGATACCTCACAAAAAATACGGTGAAAATTTTACGTGACAGTAATTCGCCTAACCAATTGCTCAAATGTTTTATCTTTTTTTACACAACAACCTTTTTGTTTAACCTGGATAATATAAAAAACCGACACGTTACGGTCGCTATAAAATCTTTTTTTTTAAGCTCGAACTTTAACACAAAACTATTAATTTTTTGGTATAGTGACTGCGCGAGTGGTTTAAAAGCGAATGCCTTCTCCAAATCTCCGGGACCATCTCTTCCTCTATAGAATTTAAATACGAAGAAAAAACGGGTCCATTCTGAACAAGGACGTGCACACATATTCTCCAATACCCAAGAACTACAAAACTTTCTTGTGTTAGTCAATATTAGCAAAGAAATATACAAGCAATACTAGCATATACTAATTAAAGAATGTTTACTACGGACGAGTGGGATCCATGGCGTTTGGTCAGTGTGATAGTAAGTCGCGAATGTCAATGATATTATTTACTTATGGGTTATTGAGGATCACTGTACAAAACAATTTTCGTGTACAACACCTTTGAAAAGTGTCCTTTTTCACTTATTAACTACAAATTCATGAAAAACAGTAAGTAAAAAGTAGGTAGGGAAAAATAATTGTAAAAAAAGATTAACGTTGCTAATTAGGATTCGTAGTAATAATAATCGGTCTTAAACGCACGTATTGAAAAAAGATCAACATTCATCAAAGTAAAGATCACGATCTTGTGTGGTGGAAATTTCTCCTATGACGGTGATACAATAAAAGAATTCGAAACTTTAAAAAACCTTGGAAGTTAACCTGCGAAAAAACTTCATCCAGAAGACAACGCTCTTTGTCAAATTCGTAGAAAAAAATTTATCCTACTGAAAGATCCATTCTGCAGTCCGTATCATTTCACGAAGCATTATTGTTAGCCAAGAATAACCGCCCCTAACCTGTTTTATGTCGACATCGTCATCTTGTAATGAGGTACCCTTATTTTATTTATGTAGAATTACGGGTTGCATATCTTTAAAACAAAATCGTCGTAAATGATATGTGACACAGTTAAAAAAGTCTCAAGTAAAATTTGAATATGAATGTTCTTAAAGGCAATTTAAAGCCGTTGGAATTGCAAATATTTTGATGATGAACTCTTTAACATGGGAATTTTAAAGCTGATTAGTTTTTCATTTACTTTAATTTCAACATAGAAAAGCTCCAAGGGAATGAGTTCAATATTTCGTCGTCAAAACGTTTTGAAAGGGTCTTTTTTCCCTTATTAACTGAAAATTCATGAAAAAAACTAGTTGTGCAAATACCTATCACATTTTTGCCATACTTTTACCTTTTTTTTAACGACCGATGGTTGCTAAAGGTTTAAGCTTGTGAATGAAGTTAAATTTGATAACAAATTATTATCAGTGTGTGATAAAAGTGAAAGATATATATTTTATATGGGGGATTTTTAAGAACTTCTTCCCTAAATAACGGCGAAAGTATAGGAATTAGCTAAATAATTTTTGTTTCATGCAAATGTCGGAACATTATATATTTGAATGAATGTTATTTCAACCAAAACTGTATACCCAGAAGGAAGATATTGTAGAAAAAAATTTCCACTTTTTGAATGTAAACGCCACCTTAACTCTGTGTACCTACTCTATTGGCACACTGGGAAAATAAAATTGACCGCAAATAGAGATCTTACAATTTTTCTACTGTTATTGGTGGAAGATTAAAAAGCGTAAGTAAAACGTTCGACAAATTAAGGTTGCCCAGTTTAGTTGCATTGAACGGTTAACTTCGGAAAGCGTTTCTTTAAACTGAAAATCTCGCAGCTGTCATCCAATTCCCCGCTTTTATTTGACTTGAGAAAATGCACCAAGTTTCCCAGAGCGTCATTTTCCATTGTGCGCATTTTTCATGCATCGCTGTGGGGATTACGACTTTAGTTGGATTCGAGGAAAGTCGCTAGATTTAAGAACATTAAAATAAAATGTAGAGATGTGCTTTGTAAAGTATGACAACATTAATTTTATTGCTTTTGGTTACGGTTTCAATTTGACTGGATGATATATATATTTCGTTTTTATTAAATTAGATGGTTTTGTATTACGTTTTAGCTTATAATAACTTGGTATCAACAGTTATTTGTCTAGTAATTTCGACACTGAACGGCATCGTATATTATAAATCATAAATAACTAATTTAACATGGTAAGAAAATAAGAAAACTAACCGCTGAACTATTAAAAAACGAGTAATAGCTATACGGAACAAACTCCTCAGGGGGATCTAAAAAAAAGCGGCAGAGTGCCTCAGTTTGACCCTACGGGGTCATTAGATTTGATCCATTTTCAATTGTCGTTGTAATGCCTCACTATAGGATAGCCCGGTTTGATCCTACTGCTTCCTATAGTACAACTAGCAGCAGAATGAAATCTAATGCATGTGAGCTGCCTTATAAACCCCTGTTCGACGTGGGTGGAAACGTCGCCGTGTTGATTTTGTTGACATCGCACCGTGTTGTTTCCACTGCTAATTGTGGTGTGAGGCGTATCAGCTACCTAATTATCAAAGTGCTTTATGCTGTGTATTATTGGGGTTGTTCATTTTGTTTATTTATTTGTGTTTAATTAGTAGTAATACTGATTCCATGCCGGTTTTCCACATTTTATACTCAATTAGTTATAAATTAATCAAAACCGTCTTTCGAAAACCCCTCTCGTCAGATTGAATAATTAGGTGTTTTCGTGAAAACGTAATAGAAAACTTACTCTGTGGTATATCATTTAATTTGAAAAAGGTCAATTGAAGTGTCCCAAAGCACAAATTCACAAAAAAAATTGTATACCATTCTGGCGTTCAATGAAGAACAACATCAAACCAAATTCAAATTTCAGTTTCTCTAATAAATAATCGCAAGTAGAAAAATTAAGTTTCATTAAATTCCAGCTTCGAATTGTCACAGTTGCATAAACACGTCGTCCGTTTCCATGGAAATAATGGTCATTTACATCCACTGACCTACGTTTTCCGCGATATCCTCACAGGATTCGTTCTATCAGGCAGGCACGTCGCACAAACCGAAAGGCTAAATTGTACTATACAAGCAAATAAGGTAAAAGGAAGAAACAGAAAATGTCAAGTGGCTGTCGAGATGAAATCTGTATTTTTGCAGGTCTACCGTCATCTTATAATAAAATAGTCGATCCATGCTTGTTATTAGGTTGTAGGATTAGAAAAGTTGTTATAAAATAATGGCGAATCGGCCTTTCTAATATTACATCATATTAAATAATCTGATATTGATGTGTTTCCCTTTTAGCTGATTGTCGTCCTGCGCTTAAATTCAGCACACGATGTAATTGAGATTTTACAACCTTACCGCTATTTTAACCGCTTTTCCCCCTTTTTTTATCTTATTTACTTATGGTATTCACAGAATCGCATTCGTAGCAAGCAAAGAAATATGTAATAAAGGTGTTGTGAATGCTCTAAACGTTCAGTGTTTTTACTTTTGATGTTTATATGTACCTAAAGCAAATAAAATAGCTCATTTCTCACAAGCTTCTTTACATAATTCATTGTTGTACTTATGTAACATACATACAAGAGTTGCTCTGTTGCGAATTTTAAACGTAGGTAACTAATCGCACTCGTCTCAGAATATGTAATGCCGCAGAAGCTCCTATTTATACATAACCCATCCACCCTCCTTGCATAAACTCCATAGCAAGTGGTATTCCACTGTCTGCTGTTTGGAAAAAGTATTTTTCATGATAGCACTTTTACTTTCCTTATAGAAACTGCTGTGCCCGTTCTGATGCTGTTAGGTCGCTCAAGTCGACCATTTGGTTGAAGAAAGTGGAGTTTTACTTTTGAAAAGCGTCAAGATTTCTGATTGAGATAAATTAAAAAAATTCGTTGACTGAAGAGATTCGCTGGCGTTTTATACTTTCTGCTACTTCTGCTGCTTGTTGTTGTGTCATCGACATTAGTGACTTTTCAATATTTTTATAGCCCCAAAAAGGGCATTTCACTTTCAAAAATTTTAAAAAAATTAATGTAGTCCACTACAAAAATGTGTAAAATCTCCCAAAAAATCATCGCTTCACGCCATATAAAACCCTCCCCCAAGCATTCGACCAAAAACTGTTAAAAGTCACTCTTCTTACGGAGACGTAGGAAACTTTACTTTTCGCTTTCATATCCCCGTTCCTCATTATGCTATTTCGAAACTCTAATCTTTTCGGTGCGGTTGCGGTTATACACGTACAACAAAATTGTCGCTATCATACAGTCAAGACTTCATGGATGAGCCGTACAGGTTTGTTCAGTCTAGTTAGTATTCTCGACACGCTCTTCGTGATATCAGTCACGTGACCATCCATTCTTCGCTTTGTTCACCTTAACGCAAACCGATGGCGAGGATTGCAAATATAAACGGGAGCGTTAGCTTCTTTTAAAACTTTTAAAGGGGTGGTGCATATTAAATTACTAAGCTGATTGGCTGCACACGTCTGACGAAATCCAACAGAGCGATTCTTGTATACATTTGCATTTATAAATTTAAGAATGAACACGTAAATTCTTTGATTTAATTTCTTCCACGTTACATGCTTACATTTTCTATAATATTGTGCATCTTGTTACAGCGAAATTGGATGGTGTTAAAACATACATGAGGATGAGAAGGGTTCCAAATCATTTACAAGTAAAAGTAATAAAATGGTTTGATTATTTATGGTTAACTCAAAAGTGTTCAGACGAAGAACGAGCAGTCTCATGTCTTCCAGATAAATTAAAGGCCGAAATTGCCATCAACGTTCATTTAGATACATTAAAGCGAGTGGAAATCTTTCAGAATACGGAAGCTGGATTCCTTTGCGAGCTCGTCTTGAGGCTACGACCTGTCCTTTTTTCTCCTGGAGATTATATATGTCGCAAAGGTAAGTGTGCGTGCTGTAGGAGGTTACAAGTGGTTTTGATTCGAATTTGTATTATAAAGCATGTTGGGGAACTAGCTGGTTTGGCTAACCGCACCTGAAATGGCGGTGGCATTTTGCCGTATAACCCAAGTTTGATATTTAGATTATAGCTTCGCCCGTTACAACTTAATAGATTCAAAGTTGTGCGGTTTGACGCAATACTTCTTAGCGTTAGTTGTAGCCAAACTATTGGAAGTTGAGCACCGAGGGTGTACGTACTTTGTAATGCCAAGTTTGTTTCAGGGGAAGTCGGGAAGGAGATGTACATAGTTAATCGCGGTAGATTGCAGGTTGTCGCGGACAATGGAAGAACTGTCCTCGCTACTTTAAAGGCTGGCAGTTACTTTGGAGAAATATCCATTTTGAACATGGGCACGGCAGGTAATGATTTTGGTAAATATCGTTTAATAAGCGGTTTCCCCCTTTGTATGTGTATAATAATATTTCACTTTACTCTACTTTCACCAGCACGGCGACCTCCGTTAGCATAACTCAAATTTGTTACCCGATAAATTTGGCACAAACTTTCTATGTACTAAGATGGAAAGAGAGAGTGAGAAGGAACTGACTAACACACGTACACAGTGTACTACCTACGTGTATTTAATTTACATAAATTTATTACACGAACTGACCCTAAACTATTGCCTACTTTATATTCCCAATTTAATAATTTGGTAAATTCCCAACTTGACAGCAATCACCTAATAGGCACTTTAAATACGCTGGTATTGATCAAAGTTATTAAACTCGCTGTATTTCTTTAAAGATTATAAAGCAACGCATTTCAATAAGGCTTATCGGAAACTTTTTAAAACTGTTTTCCATTCAAGAGAGTTCCCATTTTCATCAATTTACATATTTTATAATCCATCAAAGCTTACGTAGAGATTCAGGGTAAAAATCAATATTTTGTAAAATAAAATTAACAACAAAAGCGCATTTCTATTTCGTTTGAAATTCAGTTCAGAAGGTGCTATCTAAATGATTGTCGATCTTTTTGAGTTAGTTCAAAGGAGAATTCTGAATGGAATGCAGCAGGAGTCTACAATATGCAACCTTACCCCCTGGATACCTCTGAATATTGCTCTGATGTCTAACTTGTTACTCCATTTGAAATTGTTTTCTGTCTGTATTTATAACTAGTTGTCAGGTAAACTCCTGACTTGACTTACTGCAATTACCTTTGGTCATAGTACAACATTTAGAAAATGCTCTCTAGCGCCTTTATTTTGCCCGAAGCATAAAGTGTAGAAACCTTTTTTGTAGATCTCATTTTTCACTCTGATTCTTACTTTTAGAGAAAAATGCAAATTTAGAAAAATAAAATAAATAGTTTAACTTTTCAATTCAAAAATTCTCAAAAACAAAGGAAAAATTGTAATAAACTTTTTTGTAGTTTTTTAAGCCATTTTGGTCAGTGTATGCGAAAAAAATTAAACCATTTTTTTAAGCATTTATGGCCGAATCGGCCTTAAGGATTAGACGATATGATAATTGACCGCACCGTGAGCGAATCGTGACGTGACCGATAATGTAGATCGGCCTTTAGCATGATCAACTCAGAAACAATAATTAAACATAGGGTTATCAAGCATATTTTAAATAGAACTCTCTGAATATTGTTGCGCAAAAATTCTTGATGACAAATTTTTTAACGCACAACCTGTATTAATAAACCCTCGCGAAGTATAGCGCGAGCATCCGTTTTATATCAAAGTTCTGCAGTGTCTCACCAAACAAATTTTGGTCGTGATGATGTAAACTGGTTAATTGCGGCTTGCGGCCAATGAAATATATGTCATCTCTACCTATTCATTTTCAATGGATTTTTCTGCAATTGCTTCTGGCGTCCAGATTGCGGCGATCGGGTGCAAATTCAGTCTTTTTTAATAGCAATATAGTATTACAGTTAGCTTATCATGAGATAAAGTCAAAGTGGAAATTTTTGCATCAGCAGATTTTGAATGGACCTTAAAACCATCTGTGATTTGTAGTACAAAAGACACTAACACATCGCCTTTTTGATGGTAATTCTCCATCTGTGGGTGTGAAAGATTTACTCCGTAATTAAGGAGGGGATTATTCAGAGTTGAAAAATTTAACAGATTGAGCTCTCTCAGCAATCGAAGAGAACTCACGAGATTTTAATTAAAAGGGAATTTAGATTTTCGGTGTGAAAAAATTCAAAGTAAATTTCCAGTTACAACCAAAAGCCCATTGTAATCAAGTTTGGTGCAATACATATTAGCAGAATAATTTATTATCGGTGGGTTTCCAAATGCATTCCTGGAGGCAGACATCTGATAACATTTGTATTAGAACTATTATCCGCCTGTACCTAGAAGTTAAGAAAAGCAAACTCGAGTTCGACGAGAAACAGACGAACAGACGGACAAAACCTTCACATAACGGGAATTTTTTCTTTCGAAATTCTTGCAATATAACCCCACAGCGGTTCATCTTACGAAAGTGCTTAAGGTGGTAGGTCATCTTCCTGCGATATGGCTGCGTCTTGGGTTTGCGCTTTCTCAATTTCGCAGAATTTCGCCAACGCGGCCTCGTCCGTAATGGACACGGGGCTTTGCATGGGCATTACCTTCTTCTCTGGCGACTTTTGTTTCTCCTGAACCCATCTAAGTCACTTCTGCCTCCTTCTTTGACTCGTAGATATACGATAGTGCATCGAAACAGCTATTTTCCTCTCGTGATCCTTTCTCGCAGACCGCTATCGTGATTTGGTAGCTGCGTCCTTTGCAGTTTCGTAATGGACCTCTAAAATATCGGGTAATTCGCTGCTTACCACGATATCGTTTTGTTAGTCTTGGATGTCGTTCCAGAGCTGGGGAATCACCGTCTTTTTAACGTTCCTCATCCAATTCGGCCCGTATGTTCTGGATAGGTTTCGTAAGCCAATCAAGTCTTATTTGCCGTCTACGGAAGTCGTCGCCGTCCAAGTGTTGTTACCGTTTTTGACGATATGTTCGCCATTGAGCGTGCTTTTGTTCCCAACGCTGTCCCCTTGGACATCAAAGCTGTTTCCCCTTGGCTTGCCTCCATTTGGGATGTTGCCTCATTTGGAGTGGCATTGTCTGAACGTTGTGAGCTCGAAGCGGAACACTTGTGGTCAGGCGTCACTAATTCGTTAAAGGTATTCTTCCGCACCACACTATACGCTTATACCGCGATCTTTATTTCAAATCACACTAATTTTTCTTGTTACATAAGAGGCATGTTTTTTAAGTGGCACACAAGATTCAGGAATCCAATGCCTTTACAGATAATAGTGTTGACATCGAACAACTGATTGGCCTTTTAATAAACCGGGGATTCTCAGAGCCGATGAAAACCAGGGTTTTTTTTCTAATTCTAATGGATTCATAAATAATAAAACTCATGTAATACAAACGGCTTCCATTTACCCATTGATTGATACATTTAACAAATCAAATTCAATGGTCCCTGAGAACTGTTAGCTTCAATCACATCCTTATAGAGACAGCATTTCGGAAATTAATACTGGAACTTGTAGTAGATCGTTAACAACGGATATTGACTTCTATGATTTCTCTAGGGAATCGTTGCTCTCTGGGCAAATTTTTATCGGATGTTAACTTTTATGTTTATAAATTGCAGGCACGCATAGTATTCTTTCTACTACAGCATGTGAACGATTGTTTCTTCGCGATGAAATAACTTGATACCGGAAGTTATAATAATATTCCTTTGTGGCACCGGTACGTTTAATTGATTTCTCCTGGACCGCGTATTGTAATTTGTGCGACAGAAATGCGTTTAATCCCCGTTACAGTTTTTATTTTTCCTAACTCACTAATGTGGCTTTATACAGGGCCTTCGACAATAAGAATTTATTACCAAAAAAAATTACATGTAATGTTTCTTAATCAACATGAACTGTTCAAAATGACTACCCCCCGCTCGGATCCAAGAATCCAATCTTCTCCTCATCGACTCACGAACTCTTTCAAAAACACCAGGATCGTTTCTGATTGCGTTACACCCAACAATTATCCGATTTCTCAAATCAAATCAAACCGCTCTATCAAAAACCATTGAAGGACAAAATATCCTTAGAATGGTCCAAGGAATAGCCCTTTACATTTTTGCCGCATGTTTAATAAACACTCTGTATACAAAACCCTAAAATTAATGTTGCAGGACTATACCGGAAACTACCGTTACACTGTTTACAATTTTTTCTGCGTCATAAACTAATGTTCGTTTATTTTAAACAGCGTAGCAAAATTCATTTTTATTTTCCTAACTTATAGAAATGCACGTCTATTTTGCATTAATCTTATAGATTTTTTTGTCTCATTTTGATAATCTAAATTTTATAAGCTTCGGATCACAACTTAGTTTATTTATTAAAACAAGTACGTTGTATTTCCGGTAAGTGAGTAATTTTCGTTTTATTGTTGAATATTTTAAACTCAGCGCAGAATAATAGCTCAATAAATCATTCACTTGAAGAAAGTCAAAATTTTATTTTTGATCACGACTGTTACGCCCCCTAGTACTCATTTTACACATTAAAAAATAATTTCCAGTAACTTCTCTGGGCCACTTACATCATTTTTTACCCGTAAGCTCTATATCTACTAGTTTCTAGGATGTGGCCGATTGCCTGAATGACCACTTGATGCAAGTTTTTCAAAAACACTGCCCTTCAGAAAAATGCGTACTTTTCGATCATGGTATAATTTATTTTTTCCAATACCGACCGATCTGAATCAATTTCGAAATTAATATGCTTTTTATTATTAAAAAAACTGTGAAAAAGTAAGGTAGGCTATTTACGGTGTTATAGTTACGCTCCTTTGTTTATAACTGTCAACAAAAATTAAAAATTTTCCATCTCCATAAAACCATACCTATAAACCCTTTTAAAAATATGGAAGAAGAAAGTGACGAAGCATATGAAGGCACCTCTTTCATCCCCTAAGATATCACTTACTTGCTGATAAAGGTTTGTTTGTTTAAAACATTGAATGCTAATGTTTGTGCTTGCAGATTGTGACAATTGCAGGAGGAATTGTTAAAAATGAACGCAATTAGTATTTGGCATTATATAAGAAGAGCTGGGTGTGCTTTTTAGGGCCCTTTATAGATTGTGCTTTTAATATTACCTATATTCTGAAAATATAGAAATTTCGGAATTCTGAATGTTTTACAAGAATACAAAAATGAGGGATTAAAATTTTTTTAATCCCTAGGGATTAAAATTACCTATTAATGCACAAAAATTAGGGATTAAATTTAATAAAAACGTGTCGGTATTGGAAAAAATAGTATAAGTAACACTGGATTAAACTAGTTTTTTGTTCCCTCAAGAATTTTAAATCTCTCGGCAAGCCTCGGGCTTTAAACTA